CCCTGCTCAATGAGTTTACATGCTAGAGGGAGTGGGGTATAGTGACACAGTAACAGAGGGATTGAGGGCCCTGCTCAATGAGCTTACATGCTAGAGGAAGTGAGGTAAAATGACACAAAAGTTAAGGATAGTATTAGACTAGTGACAGTTGCAGAAGAGGAATCTGTCAGGAGCTATTAACAGTTTAATTGATAGGCTTTTATGAAGAAGTGGATTTTTAACGATTTTTTGAAGGAGTGGAGACTGGGTGAGCATCTAACGGAGGAGGGAAGCGAGTTCCACAAGAACGGTGCAGCCCTCGAGAAATCTTGAAGGCGAGCATCATAGGTGGGAGTACGGACAGAAGATAGACGTAAGTCTTCAGCAGATCGTAAGGGCCTAGACGGGACATACTTGTGTATAAGGGAGGATAGATAGGTGGGAGCAGCATTATGTAGCGATTTGAAAGCAAGAACCAGAATTTTAAATTGAGCTCTATATTTTATAGGAAGCCAATGTAGGGACTGAAAGAAGGGTGAGGTGTGGGAGGTGCGGGCAGACAGGAAGATGAGCCTCGCTGCCGCATTCATTATGGACTGTGACATGTCAGTCATTATGGTAATTTTTCACTCATGTCAATCATTCTCATCACGTCAGTCAATTTCATTGTGTGTCAATCATTCTTTTCACGTCAGTCACGTCATTGTGTGTGTCAATCATTCTCATCATATGTCAGTCAATTTTATTGTGTGTCAATCATTCTCATCACGTCAGCCATTCTCATTGTGTGTCAATCATTATCTTTATATGTAAGTGGATCTCATATATCAGTCATTTTCCTTGTGTGTCATTTACTCACATCACATGTCAGCCATTCTCACTGCGGGACATACTTGTGTATAAGGGAGGATAGATAGGTGGGAGCAGCATTATGTAGAGATTTGAAAGCAAGAACCAGAATTTTAAATTGAGCTCTATATTTTATAGGAAGCCAATGTAGGGACTGACAAAAGGGTGAGGCATGGGAGATGCAGGCGGACAGGAAGATGAGCCTCGCCGCCGCATTCATTATGGACTGTAACGGCGCTAGTTGGGAGCACGTAAGACCACTGAGAAGCGAATTACAGTAGTCAAGGCGAGAAAGGACAGTGGAATGGACCAACACCTTAGTCGCATCTGGCGTTAAGTAGGGGCGGATGCGCGCAATGTTTTTGAGATGGAAATGACAGGATTTGGCGATAGATTGAACATGAGGCTTAAAGGAGAGGTCGGAGTCAAAGAGAACACCTAGGCAGCGAGCCTGCGTGGTGGAGCTGATGGTAGCACCGTTGACTTGGAGGGAGACAGACACAGGAGTAACAACACTTGAGGGAGGAAAGACCAGAATTTCAGTTTTGGTCAAATTTAGTTTAAGGAAGTGGGTAGCCATCCAGTTAGAAACAGCAGAGAGGCAGTCAGAGACACTAGTCAAGAGGGACGGGGAGAGATGAGGAGAGGACAGGTAGATTTGCGTGTCATCTGCATAGAAATGATATTGGAAGCCAAAGGAGCTAATGAGTTTACCAAGGGAGGCAGTATAGATGGAGAACAGTAGGGGACCAAGGACTGAACCTTGGGGGACACCAACAGAGAGAAGTTGGGGAGAAGAAGCAGAGCCAGAGAAAGAAACACTGAAAGAGCGCTGGGAGAGGTAGGAGGAGCACCAGGAGAGAGCAGTATCTTGTAGACCGATATTGCGGAGGATGAGAAGAAGCTGTTGATGATCAACAGTGTCAAAAGACGCAGACAGGTCAAGGAGAATTAGGTGTCACGGTTCTCACCTGATAGACAGACAGCAAGACGTGGTCGCTCTTGGAGTTCCCAACAGGGGACTTGAACCGGGATCTTCTCAGTCCTGGTCCTGCTTTCTACCTCTGAGCCACAGCAGCTATTTACAGTGAAGACTGATTCCAGTCCTGTTCATCCTGGCATGGCTACTACTCTGGGGGCTGCACCTTGACTTGGCTGTGTTTCACCTGACTCTGATCAGTCATCAGCAGGGTATATAAACCCAGCCTCGCCCTGTACTCTCGCCCTGTGCTCAGTGTCAAGTCTTTGATCCTGTTTGTTCCAGTGTTCCTGTTTCATCGCTTCGCATTATTGACCCCGGCTTCCTGACTCGTTTATTCTGACTTCTGGCATCCCTTGACTTCGGCTATCCCTCGACCATCCTGCTGGTTCAGTCCTTGCCTGTCCTGCGTATTGGTATTGCATCCTGCACAGCCCCCGTGCACAGACCCACAGGCCAGGTGAATTCTTACCTGACCACCTCGGCCTGTGGCTATCTGCAAGGGTGAGCATCATATCTGCGCTACAGACTCCCAACTCAGGTAAGACCTGACCATTATGGAGTCCGCAGAGATGTGCTCACCCTCGACCCAGCGTGTGTCCAGCCTGGCCCAGACTGTTTCGGAGCTGCAGCAAGAAATTTTATTCCTTAAAGGCGCAGTACATCCAGCCCCGGAACAAGCTTTTCCTGAACCGTTTGTCATCATGCCCGACCGATTTGATGGTAGCCGCACATCCTTTCAGTCTTTCAAGATGGATTGTGAGGTGTTGTTTTCTTTAAAGCCTCGAACATATGCCACAGAATTCATCAGGGTCAGAGCGGCTATCAACCTGTTGTCTGGACGCATCAAAGTTTGGGCTCACCAAATGTTGCAGACGAAGAGTCCTGTGCTGGTCAGCTGGGAATCCTTTAGTACTGCTATGTACTCACAATGTAAGACCACTGTGGCCAAGTCAGCTCCACGTACTAAAAAATCTCAGACTCTTCCTAACCAAGAAACCGAGTACCACCACTACGCCCCAGAAATGCCTCCTTATGTTCCAGCTCCCAGGAAAACTCCAGAGGTATCCGGTGTTCCACTTGACCCTGTGGAACCTATGCAATTAGGACTCGTCCACTGCAAAGTGACACCTAAGGAAAAAGACCGAAGGAGAAGCTATGGCCTATGTTATTACTGTGGAGAAAAAGGGCATTTCATCACGCTTTGTCCTGTTCGCCCTCCTAGACCTCCAGCTCTCCGACTTGGTACTAGTTTCCTTCGCCCTGTGTACACCGCATACCAGCCTAAAAAGCCAAATAGAAGCCGTTGTGCTTGCACATGCTTGGCTTCCGCGAGAAAACCTCCATCCCCTGCTCCAGAGCCTCCTGCATCTACTCCCGAAGTTGCTTCCTGTGATACCACCACTACTTCCTGCCCGCCCGAAGAGGTTTTACCTGTGGATTGTGCCGTTGCTTCTAATGGCACTATAGTCCGTAAAGAAGACCTTGAAATGTTCGAAAAAGCATTGTTAGCTGCGAACACTGCTCCTGCCAAAGTTTTGGAAGTGCTTGCCACCTGTACCCGGAACCTAAAAGACCTGGACAATTCTCCAGCCGTACCAGAAGCTGGTACTGCGGACTCCCAAGCTGTAAAGGGAATCCTTGCTGGGGAGTTTGACTATGGGGACTCACTGGATTCAGATAGTGACCCTGGAGAGGTGTACTATGCTGACAGTGAACCTATTTACGCCCAGAGGTCGTTTTTAAAGGGGGGGGTACTGTCACGGTTCTCACCTGATAGACAGACAGCAAGACGTGGTCGCTCTTGGAGTTCCCAACAGGGGACTTGAACCGGGATCTTCTCAGTCCTGGTCCTGCTTTCTACCTCTGAGCCACAGCAGCTATTTACAGTGAAGACTGATTCCAGTCCTGTTCATCCTGACATGGCTACTACTCTGGGGGCTGCACCTTGACTTGGCTGTGTTTCACCTGACTCTGATCAGTCATCAGCAGGGTATATAAACCCAGCCTCGCCCTGTGCTCAGTGTCAAGTCTTTGATCCTGTTTGTTCCAGTGTTCCTGTTTCATCGCTTCGCATTATTGACCCCGGCTTCCTGACTCGTTTATTCTGACTTCTGGCATCCCTTGACTTCGGCTACTCCTCGTTGTTCCTGTCCTCTGGCATCCTTTGACCTCGGCTATCCCTCGACCATCCTGCTGGTTCAGTCCTTGCCTGTCCTGCGTATTGGTACTGCATCCTGCACAGCCCCCGTGCACAGACCCACAGGCCAGGTGAATTCTTACCTGACCACCTCGGCCTGTGGCTATCTGCAAGGGTGAGCATCATATCTGCGCTACAGACTCCCAACTCAGGTAAGACCCTGACATTAGGATAGAGTAGTGACCACGAGATTTTGCAGCGAGTAGATCATTGGATACTTTGGTCAGTGCTGTTTCCACAGAGTGCTTAGCGCGGAAACAAGACTGAAGCGGGTCTAGCAGAGAGTTGGACACGAGGAAGTCTGTCAATCTCGCATACACAATTTTTTCAAGGATCTTGGATGCAAAAGGCAGTAGCGAGATAGGATGATAGTTGGATGGGGAGTTAGGGTCAAGATTGGGCTTCTTTAGAATTGGGGTTACAGTTGCATGTTTGAAGGGCAATGGAAATATACCAGAGGAGAGAGAGAGATTGAGAATTTTAGTGAGAGGTGGAGAAAGAGAAGAGGACAGAGTACAGATGAGGTGCAAGGGAATTGGATCTAGGGAGCAGGTGGTGGGGCGGGAGGACTGGAGCAGAGTAGAAAAATCTTCCAATGTAGCGGGTGCGAATGAACATAGAACAGCAGAGAGAGTGAAGTTAGGGGAAGTATTTTAAGGGGAAGAAGAAAGATGAGATATCTCTTCTCTGATTGTAGAGATCTTGTCAGTGAAGTGAGTTGCAAAGTCTGAGGTGGTCAAGTTAGTAGGTGGAGGAGGAACAGCAGGGCGAAGAAGAGAGTTAAATATGTGAAATAGTCGTTTGGGTTCGCAGGAGAGTGTGGTTATGAGAGTATTGAAGTAATTAACTTTTGCAGAGGAAAGAGCCAAGCTGTATGAGCTCAGCATAAATTTATAGTGGAGAAAGTCAGATGCACAGTGAGACTTTCTCCAACAGCGTTCAGCAGTTCTGGAGCATTTTTGGAGGTATCGAGTGAGCTTGGTGTGCCAGGGTTGTGTTGGGGGGGCCTGCGGCGTTTAAATGTATAAGGTGCCATGATGTCTAGTTGAGAGAAGAGGTTGGAATTGTAGAAGAAGGTTGCAGAACTAGGACAGGTGAGGTTTGAGATAGGTAAAAGGAGAGTTTGGAGATTAGTGGAGAAATGCTCTAGGTCAAGACATTGGAGGTTTCTGTGAGAGTGATGTTCAGACGGTGGTGTCAATTGGGTCTTGGGTATGCCAATGTCAAAAGTCAGCAGATGGTGGTCAGATAGAGGAAAGGGAATATTGGAGAGATTAGAGGCAGTACAGAGGTTGGTGGAGGCAAGATCAAGAGTGTTTCCTGCTGTATGGGTTGTTAGATTGGACCGTTGTGTAAGGCCAAAGGAGGAGGTTACAGAAAGCAGACGAGAGGCATCAGTGCAATTGGGGTTATTGATTGGAATATTGAAATCCCCAAGTATAAGGGAAGAAGTGCTAGATGAAAGGAAGTGGGGAAGCCAGGAAGAAAAGTGCTCAATGAATAGTCTAGGATAACCGTGGGGGAGGGGGTGCGGTAGATGATAGCAATTCTTAAAGGAGTGGGTTTAAATAGGCGGACAGTGTGAACTTCAAAAGAAGAAAAGGATAGGGCAGGGGGAGTTATGATTGGTTGAAAGGTACTTTGAGGGGAGAGAAGGATGCCTACGCCGCCTCCTTTACAGTTGAGTCTGGGAGTATGAGAGAATTGTAGCCCACCAAAACATAAAGAGGCAGGAGTAGCGCTATCAGAGGGGGACAGCCAGGTCTCTGTAAGTGCAAGCAGTGTGAGTGAGTTTGAGATGAAAAAGTCGTGTATGGATGTTGATTTTAAATTACTGCAGATGGAGCGGGCATTCGAGAGTGCACAATTAATTTTGGTAAGTGAGGGTAAAGGGCAGGGTATTGTGATGAGGCTTGTGGGGTTTCTGGTTGTCTTAGTGTGTGTAGAGAAGGTGAAGGGCCCTGGATTAGGAGAGACATCACCAGCTGCTAGAAGTAGGAGGAGAGAAAGTGACAGGGGGTGTGAATGGGTTTTGTATGCATGGGGTCCAGGATGAGATCGATTGTGGGTTGGAGTGAGAGAGTAGAAAAATGAGTGTAAGGCATGAGATGAGAGAAGGGGGAGTGTAGTAGAGAAGGGCATATGTTAATGTGGATAGGGGGGATGAGTGAAGTGGGTGTAAGGAGAGATTTTTATACTGAGGGAGACTGAGGAAATAAAGAGGAGGAGAAAACAGATCATTGCTAAACTGTGAAAAATAAAAACTGGAGATAGTTGGAATATCAAGAGCAGGTGAAGGTGTTTTATGGGTTAAGAAAGTGCAGGAGTGTACTAATAAGAGGCAGTCAATCATTCAATCATTCATTCAATGTCAAACATGTCAATCATTCTCCTCACATGTCATGTCCTTATCCTTGTGTGCCAGTCATTCTCAACGTATGTCTGTCAATCTCATTGTCTTGTGATCAGAAATGGCTGCAGGATTAATTGTAAGATGTACAGCATCCATTCTTTTATCTCATTCCTGATGTATGAGGTGAAAAAATGGTTCTCCTGTCCTTTTATCTCATGTATGTCAGTTTGTCGTATTTGCTTAATAAAACCTCTGTAGTTAAATGTAAATTGTTCCAACAAAACGCCAATAACTACATAAAAAACATGTAAAATCACCTTATCAGTACCATCTCTGTTTTTCCGATGGCTTAGTGGAGCTTGCTAAGCTGTTTTGAGTTAGCTTTCACGCTCATGCCCCTGCATTTTTCCAGTTCAATTAGGTTATTACTAAGGCTAAATGAGGCATGGAGGCTTCGAAAAGTCACACCGTCACCGTGGTGATGGGGCACCGTGTGTGATTGGCGAGAACCATCCAAGTGTGACGGCAGCTGCCTTTTTTTTCTCTTTTTTTGCAAATTTACTTGTCCCGCCTTTTGCCAGAAAATCACCTTCACATTCTTAGATCTGGATCTACGGCAGCTGTGAGGTCATCGCGAGACGGCCCTTTCTACAATATGTTTGTTTGTCTGTCTGTGTTCCATTGCAAGCACTGCAATTCTTCACCCTTCAATCTAGCTTTAATACAAAACAGGTAACAAGCAATAGGAGAGAGGAAAACATTGCTCAAATATAATAATATTTAATAAGAATAATACAAGAGAATATCAATCTAGAAGCTACATCCCAGAATAAGAAATCTGAGTGTTAGAAATATTTCTCAAATCTTCTGTTTTTTCCTTCTCCACGATTTGCAGGTTAGTGAGTAAATCCTGTGGAATGCATAGTATATCGCACGCAGGACAGTAAAAGTCTGAGAAGTTAATTATCTTAAGTCAGAATTGTAGCAAATTGAAATCCAAACAGTAATAATAAGGCAATAATAGAGGGTTTGGAATAATGTTTCCAACATAGGAATCGACATTTGTCATCAACTTGCTTCAACTCGTAGTTTAGTAAATAAACCTCCCAGTAATATTCACAGATCAGGTATTGAGGAAAGGCTTGTCGACAGGATTAATGACAGACTGCTGCCTTAAGGTATTTATATTTTTATCAGCACTGAGAATACATGTGGTGTACATGGTGATCTAGTGAACGCACGTGGTTTACATGGTGATCTAGTGAACGCACGTGGTTTACATAGTGATCTAGTGAACGCACGTGGTTTACATGGTGATCTAGTGAACGCACGTGGTTTACATGGTGATCTAGTGAACGCACGTGGTTTACATGGTGATATAGTGAACGCAAGTGGTTTACTTGGTGATCTAGTGAACGCACGTGGTTTACATGGTGATTTAGTGAACGCACGTGGTTTACATGGTGATTTAGTGAACGCACGTGGTTTACATGGTGATCTAGTGAACGCACGTGGTTTACATGGTGATCTAGTGAACGCACGTGGTTTACATGGTGAACTAGTGAACGCACGTGGTTTACATGGTGATCTAGTGAACGCACGTGGTTTACATGGTGATCTAGTGAACGCACGTGGTTTACATGGTGATCTAGTGAACGCACGTGGTTTACATGGTGATATAGTGAACGCACGTGGTTTACATGGTGAACTAGTGAACGCACGTGGTTTACATGGTGAACTAGTGAACGCACGTGGTTTACATGGTGATATAGTGAACGCACGTGGTTTACATGGTGAACTAGTGAACGCACGTGGTTTACATGGTGAACTAGTGAACGCAAGTGGTTTACATGGTGATCTAGTGAACGCACGTGGTTTACATGGTGATATAGTGAACGCACGTGGTTTACTTGGTGATCTAGTGAACGCACGTGGTTTACATGGTGATTTAGTGAACGCACGTGGTTTACATGGTGATCTAGTGAACGCACGTGGTTTACATGGTGATCTAGTGAACGCACGTGGTTTACATGGTGAACTAGTGAACGCACGTGGTTTACATGGTGATCTAGTGAACGCACGTGGTTTACATGGTGATCTAGTGAACGCACGTGGTTTACATGGTGATATAGTGAACGCAAGTGGTTTACTTGGTGATCTAGTGAACGCACGTGGTTTACATGGTGATTTAGTGAACGCACGTGGTTTACATGGTGATTTAGTGAACGCACGTGGTTTACATGGTGATCTAGTGAACGCACGTGGTTTACATGGTGATCTAGTGAACGCACGTGGTTTACATGGTGATCTAGTGAACGCACGTGGTTTACATGGTGATATAGTGAACGCACGTGGTTTACATGGTGATTTAGTGAACGGACGTGGTTTACATGGTGATATAGTGAACGCACGTGGTTTACATGGTGAACTAGTGAACGCACGTGGTTTACATGGTGATCTAGTGAACGCAAGTGGTTTACATGGTGATTTAGTGAACGCACGTAGTTTACATGGTGATTTAGTGAACGCATGTGGTTTACATGGTGATATAGTGAACGCACGTGGTTTACATGGTGAACTAGTGAACGCACGTGGTTTACATGGTGATCTAGTGAACGCACGTGGTTTACATGGTGATCTAGTGAACGCAAGTGGTTTACATGGTGAACTAGTGAACGCACTAGTTTCTTTCGTGGAGTTTAGATACATATTTTGCAAGTTATATATTTTTTGATCTATATTGTATGATTTTCTGTACGGAGAGATAATGTTATTAAAG